GTTTAGGGTTTAGGTTTTGGCGCTTGCCTAAGGCCAACTCACCACTCTAGCTGAACTCTAACGCAGACCTCTTAAATAATCTGAACAAAAAATGCAAAACCTGCATACCACCATCATATGGAGCCGTTAAGAGAACCCTTACCAAAGGTTTTTCTGAGTCTGACTCATTTGAAGCGTCTGGGAAAGCACCGAACCAAAACTCGATGAGTTATAAGTCCTGTAAGCCCCAGTCCCGACCCTGAAAACCCCAACCGACCCTAAGGATCCCTAAAGAACTCGTATTAGAAACTCTATGTTTTTTTAGGAAGTCTCCAGAACAGTAGCTATAGTCTCCATTGTAGTTCCTTTAGGGTTACCTTACAGCAACCTTAATATATACTCGGTTAGACCAACAAAAAGGAACTGCAATGGAGACTATAAGTAAACCCTAATTATAAACTTGCCGAGAGTCGTAGCTTCCTTCGAAGACCCAGGCTGACGGACACTCGCCGCTCCCGGTGGTGAGGCCGTAGCCTCGGGTTTCGGGTCGCGCCTGTGGAGTTTGGGGTTTAGGGTTCGTTTGGGGTTTAGGGTGTGGGTTTCGGGCTCAGGGGTGTGCCAACGGATTTACAGCGATTCATGGGGCTTTAGAGTGTTCCGGCCGGATTCAGGGTTTGGGCTCTGGAGCTGTCGTTTCAGGGACTGGGTCCAGGGATTAGGATAAGACAGGACGGCAAGAGCAACAACCGTTTTCTGGCCTAAACCCTTAAAACCAACACTTCAAGACGGCCCCCAACCAATCCACAAACACACGCACAGACAACGCACACAAAGAAAGCCCACAGTGATAATTGAACACTCGAGTCTTTCGACCCCAAAGAGACAGTTGCCCTGGACCCAAGGCCCTGAACTCAAACCCTGAACGCCCTAAATCCTAAACCCCAAATGGCCCTAAACCCGAAACCCTACAGGGTCCTAAGCCCTAGACCCTAAGGAAATACCGGAAGCTAAATCCTTCCGGCGACCGGTGATCCGAGTCGGCGAGTCGAACTTGTACTGCAGCCACTGGTTGGGATAACCTGTGGAGGACCGGGTTTTAGGTTTTTTGGTGTTCTTAACAAGGGTTACTATAAGTGTACTCTAAGAGCTCTTCCCAGGATTACTAGGGAATCTCGCCAAAGTAGGTAAAATAATGGCCCAACACCCCCTAAAAGATAAGATTCTACATTTGGGGTCCGGGTAGGGTTTCAGGGTTTAGGTAGGGCTCTATAACAAGCTTCCTTCCAAGACTACTCAGGTTGCACAAGGGGTTTTACAAGCGTTTAAAAGTTTAGGGCTTAGATATGGGGTTTGGGTTTGGGTCTTGGCCTCGGGGTTTGGGTGGCTTGGGGCTTAGTGCTTGCAGGCCTCTGCCGGGCACAAGGTGCTGCAGCGCTCTATGAAGCTTTCTCGGCTTACGTGCCTTCAAGTTACTTCATCGGCAGTGCTTCGATAAGTGATGTATGCCACATGGGCACCAGGTATCGCAAATACGAATGCTATACGTAGATATCGCAGCGCTGTAAATTTTCTTGGCACTTGAGGCCCACGGTGCCCTGCAGGGCAAGGGATTGACCGTGACTGCAAGGCAAGGCTCGAAAACCCAAAACCGACATTCTAACCTAAACCCCAAAAGATCAAAACCCCAAAATCCGAAGCCTGTCACCCCAAACCCTGAAGCACCTAAACCCCAGACGAATCTCCAGAAGCTGCAAACCCTACCGTTATGGGGGATACTTTCCCAAATCAGAATGAGGATTCCTACTGTAGAACTCCGACAATCTACTATGTAGGTACTTCGGACCCCTTTAGGAGACGAAAGATCTTCCTCTCTATCAGCCAACAGCCGAACCTGTGGATCCTCTTAGAAAAAGAGCCTTTAGGGGTTGAAAAAAACCTGCAGGGTTTAAACATTTAGGGTTTAGGGTTTAGGGATCAAGGTTTTGAAGACTTTTAAAGGGTCTGAACTTTAAGGTCTGGGGGTTTAGAGATTTTCTTATGGTTTAAGGTTTGGGGTCTAGGGCGTGGGGTTTCAATCCAACCCTGACGAATGCCCCCCCCCCCCAACCCCAATAATCTGGTTTTTAGGGTTTAGGGTTTAGGGCCTTAGGATTTAGGGCTTAGGGTTTAGAGGTTTGGGGTGTAGGGTCCTTATGGTTGGCATCGCTTTTCCCTGCCATTTTCCTCATGGGTCCTCTGTTGAAAGCACTGAGGTCATAGGCCATGAACTAGTCCTTTAAGATACCTAAATCCTAGACCCTAAAACATAAGCAGGCCTTACGGTATGTGAAACCTATAAAGCCTAAGACACAAATGTGGTTATGCATCTAGCTTACAACCCCCACCTCTGCAGCAGCCGTTCCAGAATTTCTTCATGTTGCCATCGAAGGCCAGGTCCTGCGTCTCGGTGTTTGAGGGCTCTTTGGGGTTTTGGGGTTTAGGGTTTAGGGTTCGGGTTTCGGGTTTAGGGGCTTTGACCATGACTAGAGGGGTCTAGGGTGTAGGTGGAATTCACTGAACTAGTTGCACGTACAGATGATACGTAGACGTACATTCATGTAAGTATGCAACCATCTGCAAAGATGCGCGATAGATCTGGAGTTTCTGAAAAAAGCATACCTCGATGTACACAGAAAATCAAAGGAATGCTATCATAGGGACCCCTAGCAGAAGCACCGAAATTCGTGAATGCATGTAGGTAGGTAAACAGACAAACATGTCAAGTGTTAAATCTGTACACATATTTGGCCATGATTCCGGATGTCCCCACTGTGTGTGGCTCGAATTTCAGAGAATAAGTGAGACACGAAATCCCAAGATCCTTGCCAGGGTGTAGCATCATGTCCGAGACGATCTTCGCACATTGCACTCGACGCCTATGTTTTGTTTGCGACTGTGAACTCCAGATGAAAGCTTGGGAAAAGAAGGGAAGCAATGTAAGCCCAAAGTCGCGAAGTACATATATAATTATGCACATTCCTCTGTCAATTCTCTAAACTCCACTTCAAACCCAACACTCTAAACCAAAAAACAATGAACCCCCAAACCCGAAATTAGAAAGCCCTGCCGAACAGTTTCATAAAGCCCTCAACCCGAACCGTTTCTGTCTGAGCATTTCTCTAACCCAATCTCCGGCGTCTGGGGCGGGTCGCAACCACCAGAGGTGCAGGAAGAGGACGCGGTCGCCCCGAACTTGGGCGTTCCAATCGCCTCGTAAGGTTTGAAGCTTGGGTTTTCAGGTTATAGTATGTTTCAGGTGACTAGGACTTCAGACTAAAAGAATATAGAGTTTCCATGAAATCCCAAACCTACACCCCGAACTCATAACCTAACACTTAGAATGGAAATCGGGGCATAGACAAGTATATACGCACGGCGACTATGCGGGGATATTCTTGCTGCTTCTTGCGGACCTCTTTATTCAATCCTGAGCTCAATACGGGAGTTTCCGAAAATAAGGGTACTGTATTTTGGGGGTCCTTATATTCAGGATCCTACTATTTGGGGTACTATATTAGGGTCCCCTATTTTCGGAAACCCCCATACCGATACCCTACACCCAGACCCAACTTGACGCCCTTTGCTGAGGAGTCTAGGATAAATTATAGGGTAAGGGGATTCGGGTCCATTAGCGGCTAGGGCTCTTAAAAGGTTCCTGTGAGGGCTCTAGAAAGGTACTATCGTCCCTAGTCCCTAAACCCTAAACCCTAAACCAGGATCTGGGCTTTAAGGATTGCACGGATGAGGGTTTAGGGATCAAACATCAAGGGCTGGGGTTGAGGATCTATGCTTCGGGTTTTGAGTTCAGGGTTTAGGGCTCAGGGTTTAGGGTTTAGGGTCTAGGGTTCAGGGTTTAGGGTTTAGGGTTCAGGGTTTAGGGTTTAATTGGGGTTTAAGGTTGAATCAGGAGTTTATTTGGGGTTTAGGCGAGCTCTCGGGGACTCGAGGGTATTGCGATTGATTTGAGGTGTTGGGATCTGGTGGCTTGGATGAAAAACCCTCCAGTGATCAAGGAGCTGGAGTGAACGGTGCAGCACAGCTTCGCGAGCAGTACTCACAACTTGTATTCCAGCTGCTCAAAACGGACCCATTGCAACAGGATTTTGAAGTAGTTTGTACTGATGTGTATAATGGTAAAAATAAGGAGCCCCAAGAAATGGTAATGGTAATCTTTCGAGCCCTACTATAGTTGGGATGCAGCAGGACTCGAATTGACCTCGAGCCCGAAGCCCACATTCAGGTTCAAGGTTTGGGGCTTAGGGCCCTAGGCCCTCAACCCTAAACCCTGAATTTAGGGTCTGCCGGCTGCGGCAGACAGTGGAGAGTTGAAGCTTGAATCCCAAAGCTCGAAGCCGCCTCAGGATATCGAGCCCTACACCCTAAAGACGACCAAAGCTCCTCCCCATCAACTTGAGCTACAGACGGTTTAGGGTGTTAGGGTGTTTGGGTTTAGGGTGGCTCTTCAGGCTGTGCGTAGTTTAGGACTTTCTAATCTAGGCTCTATGGTCATAGTGTCACAAAGGCTTGAAGCTTTACTTTACTCTAAGGGTCCGAGCAGTATACGCCCTGTTCAAAAAGGGTTTCCTACAGAAGTACGCTAAACCCTTAAACCCTTAACCCTACATTTTATAAACCGTAAACCCCAAACCCCACGCCCTATAAAACCTACATGAACCCCACACCGTATAAGCCCTAAACCCCTAAACCCTAAACCCTGCACCCTATCCTACCCTATAAACTCTATCCCTAAACCCTACACCCTATAAACCCTAAACCCCTAAACCCTGAATATACATGGACCCTTCGATCGACCGTAAGGCTCTGGGCCCCGACCGTCAAAAGCTTACGCAAATCCTCGGACCAAAACCGCAAACCGCCAATCCCTCTAACACAGACATAAGTTTAGGGTTTAGGGATGTTTAGGGTTTAGGGTTTTAGGTTGATTTTTGAGTGAACCCTAAAGCAACTAGACTTCCAAACTCCAGTCGAGTTGCAAACTCCTTGTAGTGGGAGGCCAGGGTCATAATGTAGACGCGCTCCTTACGCGGGCGGGCGAAACATGGCAGCTTCAGGGTGCTTCAAGGGCAGAGGATTTATGGGGGTGCCAAGGGGCGTTGATATTCACGGCTTTACAAGTCTACCCTCAACCCTAAACCCTACCCCCTTAGGGCTTAAAGGGATGCACAAGCGTGTTGTTTCTCGGCCTTTGGGATAACCCAGCGTCCCTCATCTAAATGTCTTTACTGTCAGAATCCTACCACTTTGAACTCCGCTTCCGAAATGGCAACCGCCTTGGCCCTCGCGGCGTTTGGCATTCTGCTTGCAGTTAGAGTTCAAGGTTTACCTGGATCTCAATCAACCTACGCTAGGACCCTAAACCCTAGAGCCGAAAGACCTAAAAAGGTGGGTTATTTAGAGTTCAAGGCTTAGGGGTCGAGTAAGACCCGTGCCCGAAATAGCCAGAATGCAGAAATTCAGCTTTTGGCCTGCTCGTTGCACGGAGGTGTTTGGGTGTAAGGGTTTAGGGTTGAGGGGTTTAGGGGTGTAGGGTTTAGGGTTGAGGAGTCTAGGATTTAGGGTTTAGGGTTCTCCTTCAAAAGAACCTTTGGAACAGTCACCGAATGAAGACTGCGAGACCCTGGCTTAGCATGCTTGGTCCTGAAGCTGAGTTCTGCTTGTCTAACAACTGTACAGTTACCACGAAAAAGTAGAAGGTAACTGATATGCTTTCCTCCTGTTTATGGTGACTTCGCCTAAGATCATTATGAAGTATTAAGAATTAAGAACACCCCAGTGAATTGAGACAGCCGGTTGTCTCATCATGTTATTCCCACAGCGCCTATAAAATACCTCAAAACCCTCTTGAAAGCATTAAGGCCTATGCCTGTCGGTTTAAGGTTTAGGGTTTTGGGCTTCGGTTGGGTTTGGAGTTTAGTGTTTAGGGCCTAGGGGGCTCGGCGTTAAGATCTGCATAACCCAAAGGGTCCAAGATTACTACCATTATGGAAGTCGGTCCCACAAAGACCACCCCTATCATGGTTTTGGGGAACCTAGTTCCTTAATAGTAGCTAGTAGTACATATGGACCCTCTGGCGAACATTTCAGTTCAGATTGGGTTGCGGAGGGTCTCGGGTTAAAGGCCTGGGGTTGTGCTTGATGTTACTTGCTTCAGGTCTTTACTTCCAAGGGTTTTCCAAGTTGTGGCTGCTTGGGTTTAGGGCCCAGGGTTTTTGGTTTAGGGTTTAGGGTTTAGGGTTTAGGGGGCTGTAGTCTCCTTGGTCATAATTTTCGAGTCAAACTTCTGGACCAACCAAAGAAACCGAAGCCCCGAACCCGTAAGCAAACTCCATACATACCTAGAGCGCCAATCACCAAACACGAAACCCTAAAGCCCTGGAACCTTCAAGTAGAATCCTACAATCAAGCTGTCCTGACTCCCCCACGACAAACCTAACCTCTAAAATCTAAACACACAGCCCTAAAGCCTAAACCCTAAACTCTAAGCATCTGAAAGCCCTAAACGCTAAACACAAAACCCTAAACTCTAAACCCTAGAGATCCCAAAACACTAAACCCGAGCCCGTAACCATTACGTGCTGCCCAGGGGCTGGCCGCCCGTTACCCAGCCCGATACCGGGCCCTTCGTGCACAGCCAGGACATCACCGGAGTCGGCTACGGCGAATTGCACCTCAAAAGGGGTTCCAAACCCCAAAGCCCTTAACCCCAAACCCTAAACCCGAAGCCCAAAACCCTACACCCGAAACCTTAAACCCGAAACCCTAAATCCTAAACCCTATCCTAAACCCTACTAACCGTACCCCTGAACCCAAAGCCCAAAACCCTAAACCCGAACCCATAAATCCTAAACCCTAGATCCTAGCCTAAACCCTACTAACCCCTGAACCCAAAGCCCTAAACCCTAAACCCGAAGCCCATAAATCCTAAACCCTAGATCCTAAACCCTACTAACCCCTGAACCCAAAGACCCGAAACGCTAAACCCGAAGCCCTGAATCCTAAAACTTATATAAACCCTACTAACCCCTGAACCCAAAGACCCGAAACCCTGAATCCCAAACCCTAGAGCCTCTCGGCCTTAAGAGGCTCCCACGGTGATGGTTCAAGGGCCAGGGCCGAATTCTGTACGGCTTAAGGGCCATGTGGTTTAGGGTTTAGGGCTTAGGGTTTAGGATTTAGGGTTTAGGCTCCAAACCCCCAAACCCTAAAACCTTAAATAAACCCTGTTCGTTTAGAGCTTCAGGGCTTTGGGGCTGAGGGTTTCGGGTTCAAGGTGGGAGTGCTGAGGAATCAGAATAGGCTTCTTTGGCGTACCCGGGGGGAGGGGGGGGGGGGGCTAAACCCTAAACCCTTAGTGACATACGGACCATAAGGGACTCTATTCCGACAACTCTGAAGCATCAAGGAGCACCTCATAGGCCTCAGAGGAGCTTTCACCGTTGAAGACCACCGACTTGTTTGCTAGGAGTAGGTTTAGGATTTTGTGGGTTTAGAGCCCCTAAACCCTAAACCCCTCAACCCCCTAAACCCTAAACCCTAAACCCTAAACCCCTCAACCCCCTAAACCCTAAACCCTAAGACTAGGAGACTTAGATGTTTGGGTTTCCAGGTTTAGACCTGGCGGTTTACAGTTTCGGGATGTCGGGTTTGGAAAATATAAACAGCTTAGGGTTTAGGGGTTAGGGTTTAGGGTTTAGGGCTTTGGGGCTTAGGTCTACAGTTAAGTTAAAGTTAAAGGCTTTGGAGGATTTAGGGTTTCGGCAGCTTTGGTTCAGGGCTCTGGGGGTTTGGCTGAGGGTTTAAACCCTGATAGCATGGCATCCTCATGAGCCCTTCTGAACCCTTAGCCCGATAATTTTCGTTTCTCTGGAGGTATAGGTGTGCGCTTTGGATGTATACCTAGTATAGGTCCCTATCACTCAGCCTCCGGTGCGAAGGAGCCTCACACATTTGGGAAATCCGGGTGATCATGAAATCACGGAGGAACCACCAAGCCACCACATGCTCAACCCTCCACCTGCAGCAAACCTAAACCCTAAACCCGCAGTCCCGCCGAAGGCACACCATGAGGTGCATAGGGGTGGGCGGTGCCCGCATGAAGTGCGAAGCTCCTGAAGAGGCGATTTTGGAGTTTGGGATATGAGCTTCACAACAAAGGTTAGTCGTAAAAAAACGGTTCTTATGGGATTTTACATGGGTTTGGGGAAGGTGTTGCGAGATGTGATAAGGGGTTCATCACTGGGGTTGTATGATAAAGCAACCCGATCGGAAGTGACCCAAAGTCGGCTCCAAAGTCTACGATTTAGGGTTTAGGGTTTAGGGTTTAGGGTTTAGGGTCCAGGGCTGTAAAGGTTTGGGGGTTTTCGGGTTGAGAGCTTCTAAATTTTAGAGCCTTAGGGCTTTGGACTGCAGGGCTTTAGGGCTTTAGGGCCTCTGAGTTGGAGTGACCAGATTAATACAGGTGTCTGAATAACTAGAATAGGGGTTTGGGGTTTGGAGCCCATGATACTGTATAACTGTAATAAGGAGCCCCCAACATAGTATAGGCCCCTATATTAACACGAGCGACGCAGCCGCGCTAAGTCATAAGGCAATGCATGAAGATAAAAGTGCGACAAGGTGGCTCACAACGTGTCAGCTGAAACCCACGTGTAGTCGAACGTCAACCGCAATAGCGTGCTGGTTCAGTACTAAGGCAAAAAAGCCATCATCGTGATGTTCACAGTCGGAAGCCTAATCGTCGTGACCACCCTCCATCTTCATAATGATAACGAACGGAACCAACAACAGCATCATGGGTGTCATCAGGATGATCTGTTCTTGACCCTAACATCTTGATCAGCAATGCCAGAGTCACAGCAACAAGATCTGGCATTTCATTTAAGTCTTACACCGTGACACCCCCCAAGCCAGCACGGCCTGTAGCGGTTCCTGGCACTCAATATGTGGACTTCCGTCATCTTGGTGCCCGTCGGCTCCTCTGACAAGAATCCATTACAATTCATGGGTTGAGGACTTCGGGGCCGTACTGTCTGGAGGAAGGGCAAAGTCTGCAGAGAACGGAGCGACACGCTACTTGCATGACCAGTACGAACCGCAGTACAGCAATGCTAATGGTGGCTCTAGGCACGAGGACCATCATAGCAATGGTAGTCGCCGTTATCATCGTCGTTTGTCTCATTCTCGTTGTCGTCGTTGCCGTCGTGGTCATCGTCGTCGTGATCGCCGTTGGTGGTCGCCAGAAGCAGAAGCAACTTCAGAAGCAGAAGCAGCAGTACTAGGAGTAGTCTTCTAAGAAGGTTCCAGAGGTTTGGTTTACAGGGATGCTTATAAGGCTTGAGAGATTTAGGAATGAAATTGCTGGTAGAACAGGTTGTGAGCTTAGGGCGCAAGTTCAGACGTTCCTGCCTTGCGGAGAATGCCGACAATATCTCCATTACCTCGCAGGCCAAACTCCCACCTGGAGAGGGGCACGCACAGAGGTAATTCAGGCCAAAAGATACCCCTGTAAACTGCTTATGCTATGTCAGCTGCTACGTCCTTTTGTCCAGGGACTAAAGGAGGGACCCGCAAAGCGACCCTTGGGGTTATATACGGGCTTTCTGAGACCATATATGGGGTATATAAGGGTTAGATAGAGTGTTTGGATTAGGGGTCCCTTCTAAGGGTCCTTCCTATTGCCCCTTAACTTGGGGGGCCCCCTCGACCCTAAACCCTAAACCCTAAACCCAATAGAGCCAAAACCCGAAACCTGCCATCCCTTTTGTAAGGCCTTACGGAGCCACTCTCGCAACCTCAAAGCAGCCGCTTAAGACCTACCGAAACCCAAATCCCCAAAACCCTACACCCGTAAACCGTAAACCCTAAACCCCTAAAGCCCCTAAACCCTAAACCCGAAACCCCAAAGTACAGTAAACCGTAAACCCTAAACCCCTAAAGCCCCTAAACCCTAAACCCGAAACCTCAAAGTACAGTAAACCGTAAACCCTAAACCCCTAAAGCCCCTAAACCCTAAACCCGAAACCCCGAAGTACAGAACCCTGAAGAGAACCTTGGTCAAGGCCGGTCTTTGAACCCCACATCCAAGGTCAACCCTGCCTGTCGGAGTTCGTGTAGTGCAGAGCGGTGGCCGTGTGTAGAACCTCGCAGATAGGGTTCAGTTTTCCCTATATATATATGTATATATATGTATATATATATATATATGCTCACGCCCCCCCCCCCCCATGATCCACCCGAGCCCGCTTCTTGAAAGCAGTGGATTATGGGACGTGGGCACCCTC